TTTATCATAACATGTAATTTTGGTGTAAAAAATTCTTAGGATTATATGAACATTTATTTTCATATCTAATTACAAAATTTTAAGTTCCAAAAATAGTTAAAATCAAGTACATCTATAAACATATGAAAATCTTGAAAATGAACGGTCTAGATAATGTATTATAAGATGCATTATTTCTAGAACTCAAAATCTTTTTTTTTTTTTCATATTCATTCATCTCGATATCGAGATGATCAATTAGAGGGTATTTCAACATTAAAACAACTTTTCCGATATCTTTATTTCTACATTTTAAGGTTGCAACTTTATATAAACTTTTTCCTTAAAAAAAGGGCTCCAATATATTAAAAAGAAACATCATATAGGACTTTTCTCTTAAAAAATCACCAAAAAAAAATATACATAAGTCGGCCATAATTCATCACCCACCGCACCGTCTCTAGATATCTATGGACGAGAGATGTTGTATGGAGTGCACACTAATGAAATATTGGAAAAAGTTTATATAAAGTTGCAATAATTTACCGTAGAAGTAAAGTGTACTTTGAAAATTCAATACAAATTAGTACTTTGAAGTATGGATATCTTCTAATTGGTCATCTTAATCTCAGATGAATAGATGTAAAAAAAAAAAGAATTTGAAGTCCTAAAAATAACACATCTTGTAAATCGTCTAAAAGAATATGAAATCATCAAAATAATAAATATTGTAACTAGGCCATTTATTTTCTAGATTTTCACGTGTTAAAAAATTTACTTGATTCTATTTTTAAAATTTTAAATTTTATAATTTGGGTTAAACATATAGTTTTCAAACGATTTTAAAGTTTTCGACAATAAAACTACATCTTTCTACAAAATTTTTGCACCTTACTTTTACCATGTAACTTTATACAAACCTCACCATGAATTAGTTTCCTTTCCCAAAGAGAATTAGTTTCCTTTCCCAAAGATAGCGTTGATGGCACTATAAATGGCAAAAATGATCTCAAGATCGGTAAATTGAAAGCATGTTACACACTGTTCTCATGTTCTATTGGGCAAGTTTTCTATGCTTCCCTTACAGTATAAAACTTTTATACTTCCCCTCTATTCTAAATAGGCAGCTTAGATGTCTCCAATTAGAATGTTACATCTCTATACTATTTTATTTTTATTTTTTTATACCAAACATTTTGACACCAAATTTTGGGTGTCTGCTCCTCTACTGAACTCGCACCTATAAAAATCTAAAAAAATATTCGAAAAAATAAAATGACTAAAATGCCTCTGAAAGTTTCAAGGCATTTTGGCCATTGTATTTTATCAAAAATATTTTTTAAATATTTTATTTAGGTATGCCCCATTGAGGTGATTGCACATGTCAAATTTCATATTTATACAATTAATAAAAAGTATTAAAAATAAAATACTCTAAAACGTTAAATCTAGATTAAATAATTAGTGGTTCATTTGATCTAAATTGAAAAGATGGATAAATGGAGAATTATATATCTTGGGATTCCCTATTCTAATTGGACATGGGAGCTTGCTTGCTCAATAAGAAATGTATCCGATACTATTTTCATGTCGGTTCTCTTGAACACCCCATTATTTCTATATCTTGGATTCAAATTTGTAGTGATCTATCATATACACAATGATTATGAATATAAAAAATGAAATAAAATGTAAAAATATTTTATTGGATAAAAATTTTTAATTGTAGATTTTCATCTTAAAGATATGGACGTTTGTGGTTGGTGAGTCACAAAACACTTTTTCATTAGAATAAAGAAAAGAAAAAAGAGCGCAGGGAATACGGTGCCTCAATTTGAAAAAAGAGCGCAGGGAATACGGTGCCTCAATTTGAAAAAAGAGCGCAGGGAATACCATGCTCCCCTGGAGCATATAATTATTTAAGTAATAGTATCACTTTCATCTACTGAAAATGCAAGGGTTTCGACAGCAACAGTCACTCTTTCTTGCGAGCTCTGGATCGGGTAATCGCTTCTTCTTGAGCCTTCTTTTTTAGCTTGAATTGCGATATCATGCCAATATGATTCATGTTACATCGTCGAAATTTGGTTTTGCAGAGATCTCGATCTTCGGAGAAGTTGGTTAGGTTCGGAATTCATTTTTTTCTCTATCTTCCAGTTCAAGAAATCTGAATTCATCATTAATTACTTCCCAAATTTGTTTCCATCACATTTTGTAGCGTTTGTTAGCATGTTTTCGGACTAGGAACTAGCTTTCGATATCTAATTGTTGCTCTTTTACTTTGTGCCTGTAATTTTTGTTCTTTTTCCTCTTGAGTAAGTTTGTTCTGGTCTGAGGGGTTTTGGGATTTGGTAACTTGGTTTTGAAGTTTCCTGGATGCATTGGTGGGCCAGTTTTCAGTTCTTGTTGCTTTGAATTTTGAAACAAGAGCCCAGAGATCAAATTTTTTTTTTTTTCTGGCTTCATTCTTGTAATTGTTCCTCTACTGCTCACTCAAGAGAGGTGAATATTGGAGGCCTAGGTGGATCAACAAACACTATTTTGCCTTTAAGGCTGTTTTCAAATGTGTCAACTGATTGTTCCCCAGTTATTGTAGAGCTAATAGCATTTGGTTGCCTTGATTGATTCTCCACTCCAAGATATTCGCTGAACGCCGCTACTTGTCCTTGAAGATCGATGCTATTTGAAATACATCATAATTTAAACCACATTGTTATTGAATATAGTTGTGTTTCCTTGAAATTAATAATCCTTTCTGAACTCCACACTAGCAATTTCTTGGCAGACGCATGTCAATATTGAAATTACCGTCTGGGAAAAAAACCATTAATTTACAATCTGTTTGCCTCTTGTTTCAAGTTTCAAGTGATCTTTTTGGCTTGAAATCAAATTTTTGGATAATTGTAGAACCAGTGATATCGTCATGGCATATATCCCACCACATAAAAGGCACACAAAGGATACAGAGAAGTCAACATCATCACCTTCATTACTCATTCCCCAATTGGAAGAGAGTTTGAATTTGGGGACCAGGTATGCTGGTTCATCTGGTCGTTCAAGAAGGAATCTCAAACGTGATATACCCAATGTAAGCATAAAATACTCCAAGAACTCCATTTCAAGATGGTGGGATGTTGGAATGTCAGATGATATGCAATCATCAGAATCCCCATCAGTTTCTTTGAAACCATACCCTTGTGAACTTATCGAACGAAGAACCGGTGAAAAGCCCCTTGCTATTGTGGGTAAGATTTCTCGACCTTGATATTTTGTTTTATTTCTTCTATTTGTGTGCTTATTTTCTTTGAATCATGTTACAATTTAGTGTGATTGATTAGTTTAATTATTTCTCTCTTGTAGCTAAGGAAGAAAGTGAACCCAGTAGGACTTTGGAGCCTTGGTTACACATTGCAGAGAGGATACAACCGGACCTAGATTTTGCTTTCCAGATTGTAAAAAGCCAAATGGATTTTGGGATGTCTAAAGAATTAAAGCTTTCACTGACTGCCCGCTTTGGGAAAATTCTCTTTTATGGGTAAGACTTCACTAATTGTTTTTTGTATATTAAAAAATAAAATAAAATTGTCTCTTGCTTTTTGGATGTTGTCATAAACTTTTCATGATTAACTTTATTGAGAGTTAAAAGAAGAACTTTTTTTTATGGAGATGACTGTTAATTTTTAATTTTTGCATTGGAATGTGGTTTATGATATGCAATGGAAAGCTTGGTTTTACATTGAGTGAACGTCTTCCTGGTAAGTGTCTTGGTTGTAATGTCAGCAATTTGATTAGAACTATGTACATGAATAACCTTGATTTCATTATCTTGGTTAAGCGATTGCATTGTAGTGACATTTACTCCTCACAAGTGAGGTTGAAATCTTGGAATTAGAACAATAATGAGAGCGAGTAAAAAGGAACTTTTTTTTTCTAACTCTCGATAAGGTTAAATCATGAAAAGATTATGAGAATCTATAAAAGTCTCCCTTAATGTTTGCCCTTTTATCCATCAAACTGAATAACCCCAATTATTTCTTGTTGAAAAATCAATTTCTTAAAGTTGTACAAACCATAGTTGTTGGAGGTGGGAGCATGATTGGTTTAGGATTCGCTGAACCGCCCAATAGTGGAAGCTTCCTGGGATTAAGATCGGCGTCTGTACAATGAACAAGACAAGGAATGACATCCTTAGGTTTATGTGAGCGAGATACAGTGTCAAGAGGTTTGATGTTTTGACTAGCGGGAATCTAAGCTCCACTATACAAAAAAATAAGGTTGTCAAATAAAGCTAGTACGAGTTCCTTTGTTTAAGGAATCGAAGTTCAAGTATGTCATATAATGGGGTTCCTCCTCTTCTAATATCGAGATTCTTAAAATATAGGAATCAAGGTCCTCAACTAATTGGCCTCGAGATCCGCAAGTGCCATTTACCAGGGATCCCTTATCAAGTGGCCCCCGCCCTTAATTGTGGTGGGGTTCCTAAATTGTATCCATTAGTTGTTAAGGTGTTGTCTCAGAGTATCAATTCGTCATGTGCTGAGAGGTTTTGGAAGTTATATTCACAGTGTTAAGCGGAACAAGTTAAATGGTCAACACTCTAGGTCATTGGTTTATGTTCGCTACAATGACAGGCTGTTAAGTAGATTGCGATCAGATTATGTACAGATGTACAAAGGATGGGATTTTTATCATGATGATGACCACCTAGGATGATGTTGGGGCAATAGAAGCATTAGGAGATCGCCTTGATGCCGATGATGAGTCTCGTCAGAGTGCTCCATTACCAAGGCCTCTCTCTCCCACTACATCTTCAAGTCATGACACAAGTTTTGCATGCACTATTTCCTCTGAGTCCTTAGAAACCCAATATCCTACCACTCAAGCGTTATCTTCTTCGAATGTAGTCTCCTTTGCTTCCATTGTTTCTCAAAGGCTAACTCTTTGAAGGGGCAAGTGGACAAGATGGACTTCTGTGTTTGTGTGTAGTAAAAGAACATAAAAAGCTTTTTAAAGCTTGAAATCAAAGCATATATTCTTATCTCACGACTAAGAGTATACATCATTGTGATTTAAGACTCTAAAACAATAGGACATCATAAATATAAGATTTAAATGAAATATATACTCTCATAACTAAGAGGGATGGCTTGCACAATAGGGCTTAATAAAACAATGGGTCACTCTAGACTATGCCTAGTTCAAATTAAGAATTTAAAATAATGGAACTTCATGCTATGCGAAAAGGGGACTGGATTTTAAGATGATTGAACTTATGATTCGTAAATAATAGGAACTTTGGACAATGTCAATCTCTAACTTAGTATCATCTGTTATTGAAAGTAGAAACTACAAACATGGAACCCAAGATTTTAATGTACCAAAGCGTTGGACTATGGTTGATAGGAGCAGGGATCTTTTTAGAAATGGAATTGGATTCCACTGATGGATGGAATGTGGTCCCTCTTTTTGAGAGTGAGTTCGCAAAATCTAAAATCCTGGTTACCTACAAGATCCCTTGCACGAACCGTGGGGTCGAGTTTCTGAAGCGGGATCGTCACCCTACCCACAAGTTTCCCTTAACTATGGTACAAACCCAAAAAAATGGCTAGCTGTTGATGAGGATCACATCCTTATCCACCTGGCCGAATTGAAGAAAAGTCAATTGATGAAGTTGAAACTACCACCCTTAAGCATCTCAAAGGATATCCCTTGATCAGCTAGTGGTTAGCAGGTTGTTTGCCTCCAATTCTCTATATATACTTGACAATATTCTTGATCTACTTACTGCTCGAGATGCTTGAATCACTCTTGAAGGGCTCCTTACTGAAAAATCAAAGGCCAGAGCGATGATGCAGCTGAGCTTGAACTTCAAAATTGCAAGATAGGTTTGTAGTGTATCACAAAGTATTTTCCATCACTTCAAGGAAATATGTGATAAACTAGCAGCAATACAAGGGGTTTTACCAATAAAGGTAATGTAAAATACATTATCAATGTACTAGGAGAATATAAATGGTGACCTATTCTTTTGAACTGTGAAATCATGTTCATTCAAAATGCAATTTCAAATCACCATTAACAACCAGCAATATCAGCCTTCATTGCTCAAACTTTAAGAGCTTTCTATCCATGGCGCGGTAGAGGCCATTCTCCACGTCATAGAGGCAGATGAAATGCTTATAGAGGCATTCTTCCTCAACTGCACCAAACACATGGTACTAGATACCCATGCATAAGCCATCAAAATGTGATCCATAAAGTCTTGCCGATCACGCTGCTACCCTCACAATGGAATTTTAGTCCAGCAGACACAAAGACTATGAGAGAGAGATTTTTATGATGATTTGAATCATCTATTTGTAAATAATGACATTGATGAGTTACAACAATATTCAAATGATAAATTTCATTATCAAATTATTAATGAATTCATCTCCTTCAATGATCTCTCTCATGTGCATGGAGCCTTTATGGTAGAAGCATTAAAAATTAAGGAATCCTTTCCTTTTGAAAGATCTAAAGCTTGCCTAGTAGCCCAAGGATATAACCAGGAATATGGATTTGACTATGATGAAACCTTTAATCCTGTGGTAAACTATGCCACCATAAGAATTGTTCTCCCCCGGGCCGTAATAGAAAAATGGGAGTTGTGCCAACTAGATGTTTCTCCTTGGGGCCTTGAAAGAGGAGCTTTATATGGCTCAACATCCAGGAATAGCAACAAATTTGCTCATCGTGTGTGCAAGCGAAAGAAAGCAATATATGGTTCAATCAGTCCCCAAGGGCTGGGTTTGAAATATTATAAGGAGGGATGAAGGAAGATGGCTTCATCTTGTGTTATGCAGACTATTCATTGTTCATCAATTAAAGAAAAGCTGGTATAACTCTCACACCTCTATATGTCGATTATATGATCATTACTGGAAAGGATAATGAAGGAATCATTTAGTGAAGACTAGGTTGTGAGTTCTTTGAGATGAAGGATGGCGAGGTACATCAGACCCTCGAAGGTACATCAGGCACCCGAAGATCTAGTCTTAACAAAGATATGCCTTAAGAGTTACTTGTAAATTTTGATCTACTTAATTGTAAGCCAACTGGGACACCTATTGCCGTGAATGTTAAACTTTTATCTGATAAAAGAAAAGCGCTTGCAGATGCTACCGGATATCCAAGTTTAATTGACGAGAGTCAATGTTTGACTTTCACAATGCCAGATATAGCACATGAAGTTAACACAGTCTGGCAACACACGTAAAACACATCGAAGGTACATCTTGAAATGGCCAAGAGAATTTGGTATTATATTAAGAGGTTAGTCAATATTGGTCTTCAATATGTACCTCAAGGGAAACCTAAACTCATGGGTTACACAAATGCTGACTGGGCGGGTTTTTCCAAATAATACAAGGCTGGTGATCAATTTCTGTGTATTCTTGGGAAATAATTTGGTCTCATGGTGCAGTAAGAAGCAACAGACTATGTCTAAGTCAAGCTAGGACACTGGATATAGGGCATTATCAATATTGTGTTATAAACCACATAGTTATCCAACATATTTTTGGAATTGGAGTTCCCTTTAGAGGTCCTATAAAGATTTACTGTGATAATTAGAGTGCAATCAAATTATTAGATAATCCACTGAAAGATGGGAAGACTTTGCTTTTGAAGGTAGATCATCATTACATAAAGGAAGAATCTCGACATTATGGATCAAGGTGATGCATGTGCTGAATCTAATCAAAATAACTGCATTATGACCAAGGAACTCACAGAGAAGAAGTTTACTCAAGATAGAACAAGCTTTCCATGTTCTCATGTCAGCTTAAGGGGAGTGTTAAGATATGAGACTTATCTAATTTCTTTCTAGTGTCTTTTGTCGTTTGTGTTTGGGAAACTCAAATCATTTTACCCTCCTCCATATTGTACATGTACTCAAGATGGTATTCAACAAACACATATAATTCTCTTTCTTAAAACTTCACAAGCCATGACTTGCCCATAGTTATAGACACATATGTTTACATCCATATGCATGTGCATAACAAAGATATATACGTGAATTTACAAATATGTGTATGGGTCTCAATGGGCTGGTTTACTTGGAGGAATGACTTCTAACACTCCTATGGTGACTAATATCAACATTTCGATGAGAATGGATGGCCAAACCTATGCTTCTACGGTTTTCCATGTCAAAAGTTTCCTTATAAGTTCAAATCTATGTAACCATGTAGATGGCTCTTCAATAAACCCTCAACTATAAGGAATCCAATGCTTGGATTTCAAGAAATGCCAAAATAGTGACAGATTTTGAATTCAGTTGATTTCACTAATGAAACCAACTTAACTCGATTTATCGTTGGTAAGGACATGGTTGACTTCTCTATTCTTTCTCCAACAAGGGTTGGAGAACAAGCTTTATCTAGAAGGTTCAACTATTAAAACTTCTTTGCCGCGAGGAATTAATGTGGAGTGACCATGATACGATGGAATGCTGTATCCCCAACACATCAATTATCACGTGGCAAATAT